GAAAATATTTCTTTTGATCATATTTTGCCCTAGTTTTATGGAATTAGAGTTTGAATTACGATTATGTTGCCATGTTGGTATTTCAACTGATTAACAGATGGGCTGACCGAAGCACGGCATCAGGATCAGTCAGGGTAGCATGGGGAGATGGAGGGCTATCAATTTTTGTTTTCAATTAATTACCTTCACGGACTTTCAAGCTTACACGAGTCCAACGTGTTATAATCTTCGAACGTCTTTTCAATAACCAAAAGGGCCAGTTGTCTGAAATTGAGTCTGTTGCATGGTAGGTTGACATGCTACCACGTTTGTTCAAGTGAATGACCTTGACCTACTCTTAATATCACGGGGTCAAATTTTGTTTATTTGTATTCATTTTCAGTTGGAAATAAAAAACCGGTTGGAATTTCGTCGTCATGGAAGTTCAATGTTTTGATAACTCAAATGCAGGGCCCTAACAATTGGATTTGTTCAAATTTCTGCAATGTACATTAAATTCACACTTGCTACAAACAATGCAGGCTTTTATATGTCTTCTAGATATTGGATAATTCAGTTATGATAGGTTTGTGCTTGTCGTTTGATTAAAATCAAAATTAAACTCAAGTGACCGGTAGGGCCTATGAGTCTCTTGTTAGAAGTTCCCAGTATTGTCAATAACACAAGCGTCTATGATTTACCTAACATGTTAGTTGAGTGCAGTGATAAATCCATTGATGTCATAAGTGACCGCCTAAATGCTAAATGTGTATCAAAACTGAGAAAACAAAATCCATGTTGACTGGCACTTACCAACGTAAGAACAGACAAAGTCGGCAATTAAATATTGTGATCAATGACACTGTGATTGAAAATGTAAAAACAGAAAAACTTCTCGGTGTCACTGTAGATGCTTGTTTGTCTTGGAATACCCAATTTAACAATGTGTACAAAAAACTGTCTTTTTACATTTTTCAAATGAAACGTTTGAGAGTGTTCGTTCCTTAGCCAGTCTTCCTGTTTAACATACTTTAACTGTTTTGTAAATCCACACTTTAACTATTATGTAAATATCTGGGGCAATACTTCACATAATAATATAGCCAAGCTAGAAAAACTCCAGAAAAGAGCTGCTAGGATTATCTTGAAGTGTGATTTCAATACTCCCTCCACTGACATGTATAAGAAGCTGAACTGGTTACCGTTTACAAAGCGAGTGATGTACAACCAATCAGTTTTAATGTACAAGGTTTTACATGGTCTGGCTCCCCAGTATCTGTACAATTTTATATATACTTCTGATGTCCAGTCCAGATTTACTAGGTCATCATCTAATACTTTATTTTATCTTCCTGCTTTTAAGACTGCATTGTATAAGAAATCTTTTACCTATCAGGAACCATATACCTGGAATATTTTACCAGATTCCGTGAGAAACGCATCATCACTTTTATCTTTTAAACAAAGTGCCAAAAAGTTTTTTTATGGACTCCTCTTAATTTTCTGTGGATTCTTTAACTGATGCACTTTTTTCCTGTTTTCTTAAATGTTTCTCTGTTTTATGTACATTTTGTAATTATTGTACATTTTATGTATACTTGACCAGAAGGTAGATGAGTCTTTGACTCATTCTGTTATCAAGTAAAAAATAAAGACTATTATTATCCCAATCATATAATTATCCTATGTCAAAGTTTTGTCTTATATCCTATATACATGTAGCTCTCAGTTGGCGTGTTTTTGTAATTTGCAGGCTTCTATTGACTAAATCATACGTCACCTTGGTTCAAGAGGTTGCCAAGAAGATATATTTCCTTGTATTTTCCAATCACAAGGAGATTTGAAATATTCGATGTAGTCGTGGAGACTGGTCCTACACCCAGACTGCGTCCATCCGTCCGAGACATTTGTACTTGGAATGGTGGATCATACTTCCGGAGAAGGGACTACATAAATTCCTCGGATCCAACTGTGGGAAACGAAAAGTGAAATTAGCATCAAGGTATACCGGCTTATTTATCTACATACCCTTCAGTAATTATGTAACTGTAATTGTTGATCGGATGGTCATTATCTTCAAATTGAGGAATTAAGATAATTTCAGATACGTGAATGATGGACAACTAGAATTTTCAAAATTTACTTTTGCATTGTTGTTGTTCTAAAGGGTTGGTGTCAGTAAAGTTCGTTTTAAAAGTCAAAATCCATCGGTTGCAGCATTTCTAAAGGTCATAAGGTCATACAGTCTAGGTAATCCCGATATCATGATGTTTGATTTCTAAGTGAGCTGTCGATGTGATAAATCATCTGCATATATAACTAATGGAATGAAATCTGCCTTAAGTAAAATTCATGCATACTTTATGTACTCCCAATTCTGAATGAAAAAAAAACTAAAAATCTAAAATATACATAAGGTTAACAATCACATTTTTGCAAATCCTATAATGTTATACCACATCCCAGAAGGAGAGAGAGAGATTGAACGGCAGGCAAAGGTGGAAAACAAAAAAAAACGAGAATGAGAAAGTATTCAAATAACTTAAAGAACCACGACAAATACAAAAAGGGAAAGGGGAAGTAACTCTACCATCAAGTCTACTCTCCACACGTCTGAATTTAATTGGGTATGCAACAGGAATACTGAGAAGGCATTTGTCAGTACACACAGCCGGGACATGACCTCTTGTTATCACCCTCCTCTGTTTGTATACCGCATGAATGAAGAAATACTACAAACAGAAGAGAAAAAAAAATCATATTTCCATAAACCTATACTTTTTATGCTATGTAAAATAAACAAACAAGTGAATAATACTTTTCAATACCAATTTAGTATCAGATTTAATAAAGTCAAATAATTAATACAACTGCACCATTCAGCTATTCCGTTCTTCTAAGACTTGGGGTGCGGGGTCAATACTGACCAATAGAAATGTTATAGCTATCACGATTTGGAGTTTGAATTAGGATTGTGTAGAAATGTCGGTAATTACTGGATGTATTTTTCATGGTGAAAATCTCTCAATTTTCATATAAATGTATTTTCTATACATTTTCTTAATTTTCACAAATGTTGGGTATTAGCACAAGTAACAACAATGATAACAGGTATAGCCTGAGTATTAGCACAAGTAACAACAATGATAACATGTATGGCCTGAGTATTAGCACAAGTAACAACAATGATAACAGGTATGGCCTGAGTATTAGCACAAGTAACAACAATGATAACATGTATGGCCTGAGTATTAGCACAAGTAACAACAATGATAACAGGTATGGCCTGAGTATTAGCACAAGTAACAACAATGATAACAGATATAGTCTGAGTATTAGCACAAGTAACAACAATGATAACAGGTATGGCCTGAGTATTAGCACAAGTAACAACAATGATAACAGGTATGGCCTGAGTATTAGCACAAGTAACAACAATGATAACAGGTATGGCCTGAGTATTAGCACAAGTTACAACAATGATAACAGGTATGGCCTGAGTATCGAGCTTAACAAGTTACTCCTTCCACGGCCACACCAGGACCGACTCTATTTGCTGTGACCTTACAGTTTATCCTCAAGTAATTTATAATCTAATTCCGATAGGTCATTGAGAAAGTATCTTCTACTGATCTACAATTAAACCATGAACAATCAATGTCTCACCGGCGGAGAGCAAGTTCAGCCAATGTTTCACGGCATGATTCTGACACTAAGGTGACCGCAATAAAACTTTCTGTCTGATAAGCCAGGCGGTCAGCCTGTCCACAAAGTTGTTTCTTTGTCCTAAACCCGCACTAGAGTCCGGTAACCTTTAGCCAATCAAGACAAAGGTGGACAGCTAATTAGCCAATCAAAATGCAGATTGCCCCGGACAGCCTGTTTAGATTATCTGTACCGATGCCCAAGTCTTCACTATGAACTTGGACACCAACAAATAAAGTACACGATTATCTTAACAGCTGTCTTTGATCCATTATTCCAGTTAGAAACTTTTCATTCTTCAATAAGAGATTTCTCTGTATTTTTACTTTTGATGGACATTCTCTCGTATTCGCAAAGTTTTTCAGTTTATACTTGTTTTATCTTAATAATATGTATCATATGATGTTGTGTTCAATTTGTGACATGTTGTCTATATATATATGTTATTGTGTTATGCTGCAATTAGCCTATAGGAATCTGAAGAACTAGTGTAAATTCAGAAAATGCAAACTAATCATTTTGTATTGTATGTTAATTGCTGTTAACTGTATGTATATATTCTTTTATATATAATTATTGTGTGGATACAAATTGACTTGTTTCAAAAGGAATTTTGTTAACAAGGTATAATTTACCTTATTAGTCATTATTTATGCCAGGCAGGCACACAGAATTGTGGCATGTATCCAAACATTATGACATTCTATCGTATCAAAGTTTTTCCCTTTATACTTGTTTTACAAAAATTAATAATATGTATCATATGATGTTGTGTTCAATAACTGCTATTTGTCAATATATATATATATTGTGTTATGCTGCAATTAGCCTATATAATCTTCATAACTGATTTATCATTGTTGCTAATTGATCATTTTGATATTTATGTTAATTGCTGTTAACTGTATGTATATATTCTTTTATATATAATTATTGTGTGGATACAATTGATTTTCTGTCACATAGAAAATAACGTTTAAACATTATTTTATTGCACTTTTGACTATAGTTTATATATCTATTAATCTGAGCATAGGCAATTTATCTTATAAGCACATTATTCATTGTTAATCTGGTATTGTGTCGGATTATATGGACTAAGACTACAATTAAATACTTCCGGGTTCAGTACGAATGAAGTCCCTAAAAAATGTATGCATATTGATGTAGATGTGTTATAGAGATGATAATCTAACTGTCAGTGTGTAAATCATTCATATTGAACATGTATTTTGTGCTGCATGATCCGGTGTAAAAAGTCCTGTTTTCACCTTTACCCCTGACCCGGATGTATATCATTGACGTTGGTGACACACATGGAGGTATATCTCCAGAAAATGCCCAACATGGTGGGTTGAAACTTTTACATTTTGCTTCTCAGATGTTGATCTTGGCTAGGTGAAATGGAAATTTGCAGATGAAACTTTGGGACTTAGTTATGAATTTTAATGTTACAATGAAATATATAGTGAAATTAATTGTGGTCTTAGTCCTTAATGACATGGCTAAAAATCCGTGTTTTTATTTCTCATACCCACATTTTTTGACCGATTCTCATACAAATTGGCATGGTTGTTCTATATTGTAAGACTGATTAGGTAGTGAATTAATTTTTAATTTATCACTTCAATTATAATTAAAATTTTAATTAAATTAAATTTTTTTTATGTCAAATGAAAAATAATAAAAGTCCAGGCTCAGATGGTTTTACGACAGAGTTTTTTAAATGCTTTTGGAAACAGCTTGGCACTTTTATAGTAAGATCCTTAAATTTTGGTTACCATAATAATAAAAACAGGGTATTATCACTTGCATTCCTAAAGGTAGTAAACCAAGACATTTTATTCAGAATTGGCCACCAATATCTCTTTTAAACATTGTGTATAAAATTGCAGCTGGAGTTATTGCTGGTAGGCTAAAAGCAGTTTTAGGAAAACTTGTAAATAATGATCAAACTGGGTTTTTGGAAGGACGTTATATTGGGGAAAATACTAGAATCATATACGATATTATGAATTATACTGAACTTAATGATATTCCTGGGATGCTTCTTATGGTTGACTTTCAAAAAGCCTTTGACTCTGTTTCATGGAAATTTATAGATAAAACTCTTTCTTTTTTCGGTTTTGGAGACAGTATTAAAAAGTGGATAAAAACATTTCATTATAATGCCAATTCTGCTATAATTCAAGGTGGAAATCTCTCTTCTTTTTTCAAGGTAAAGCGCGGCTGCCGTCAAGGGGACCCTGTCTCCCCGTATATCTTTATCCTGTGTGCTGAAATATTAGCTATAAGGTTAAGAAATAATAATGACATAACTGGTGTAAATGTAAACAATTTTCCTATCCTTCTCTCTCAATATGCAGACGACACCTCATTAATACTTGATGGGTCAGAAAAATCTTTACAAAATTCAATCCTCGAATTAAATATTTTTGCTGATATCTCTGGATTAAAAATTAATGTACACAAAACTCAGGTAATATGGATAGGTAGTAAAAAATACAGTACTGACACTTTTTTACCAGAACTAGGTTTACAATGGGGCAGGGATAAATTTACACTCTTGGGTTTGGATTTTAGTGTAAATTTACATGAAATAGCTAGATTGAATTATGACAAGAAATTGGTAAAACTTAAGTCTTTAATAAAATCATGGAATAGGAGAAAACTTACACCTATTGGTAAAATACATGTTATTAAATCACTACTAATATCACAGTTTAATCACCTCTTCATATCACTTCCTAATCCAAGCTGTGCTTTCCTTAAAAAGTTGAATAAAATTCTATACAATTTCTTATGGAATGGTAAAATAGACAAAGTAAAAAGAAATGTCATAACTAAAGATTACTTTGAGGGGGGTCTAAAAATGATTAATATTATTTCTTTTATAGATGCTTTAAAACTAGGATGGTTAAAAAGATTCTTCCTTAGTTCACAATCCAGAAAATGGCAAATCATACTTAAGAATATTATTAATATGGATTACATTATGAATTGTGGCAATGATTACTTACAGAAATGTCAGAAATCCTGCAAAAATACTTTTTGGTGTGATGTCCTGAAGGCTTGGGAAAGATTATTGAATTCTGACTCACTAAAGGGCAGACAACTCTCTATACTAAAATCCCCATTGTGGTATAATCCTAATATAACTATAGGTGGTAAGTCTATTTTTTACAATAACTGGTATTCCAAGGGTGTTAGAGTAATAAATGACATACTGGAAAATACTAGTCCAGTTACTTTCTATTCCTATCCTGATTTCTTAAGGACTTATGGTTTAACTACAAATTTCCTCCATTTTCAAGGCCTTGTAAACTCTGCTAAATTTTATATAACTAGCTGTACACCGATAGACCCAGATACACAACTTTTACACCCGTCCATTCCCATTAACATAGAACCATTTTTCAGTAACACAAAGGGAACAAAATATCTATATCAACTTTTGTCTAAAAATGATGAAATTCCAACAGGTAGAAAAAAAATGGGCAAATGACTTTGATTTTGATATTGGGGATTGGGCAAACATTTTTTCACTACCTTTTAAAATAGTTAAGGACTCGAAACTCCAGTGGTTTCAGTATCGGATATTACATAAAATTCTGACAACTAATTCATTACTATTCAAGGCAAAGCTAGCTGTAAGCCCAATGTGTACTTTCTGTAAAATAGAGTCTGAAACAATATCTCACATTTTCTGGGAATGTCCTAAGGTTCAAGACTTATTTCAGAACCTAGAAGTAGTTTTAGATGCTCTTTTAATTCCTTTCACTATCAATAAACAATCTGTTATATTTGGCATTTGGCCGCATCAAAATGAATTCAGCAAAATAGATAATGAAGTAAATATTATCATAAAACATTACATTTATAAAACTAGGTGTCTTGACACCACATTAAACATAAATTCTCTCATCAACTCTATTAAAGACCATTATAATGTGAAAAAATATATAGCAACAAAAAAAGGTGGTGCTTTTCTCACCAATTTTAATAGAGGATGGGTAAAGTGGAAACAGATTCTATCTATATAATTTTTCATTTATACCTGTATTACAACTATAGTGCAAATATGTATACATCATTTAAACAATTGTCACATAAGCATGAGCAGCTGGCACGAACGAAACTTAAATATAGTAAATTTTATTATGACCACAATTCGTTTTCTGTTTCTTCCAAAGAAGGTCTGTCTGTCTTATTGTCTGTTTGTCTGTCTTATTGTCTGTCCGTCTGTCTTATTGTCTGTCTGTCTTATTGTCTGTCTGTCTTAGTGTCTGTCTGTCTGTGTGTGTGTCTGTCTGTGTGTCTGTCTGTCTGTCTGTCTGTCTGTGTCCGTCTGTCTGCTTATGTATTGCCTGTCTGTCCATACTTCTTCTTTCTTTCGGCTTTTTTTTGAAGCACATCACATGAGTCTAACTTATTTTTTGTATGTACCGGTATGTAATGTATGTGTGTGTGTGTGAATGTGTACATGTATGGGTGGTAGGGTTTGTGCGCGCATGTGTGTGTGTGTGTGTGTGTGTGTGTGTGTGTGTGTGTGTGTGTGTGTGTGTGTGTGTGTGTGTGTGTGTGTGTGTGTGTGTGTGTGTGTATGTATGTATGTATGTATGTATGTATGTAACATATATGTATGTATGTTTCTTTCAGAGAGTATACATTTGGCATTTTTGAACAATAGAATGATCACGAGTGTTTTCTGCGAGATGTCTCACTAGATATTTATATTGTATCTTTGTCATGTGCTTGTGTCTTGTGAAAAAACCTGAATAAAATTATAAATTAAAAAAAAAAAAAAAATTTTTTAAATTTTTAAACTTTATTTTCTGGAGTGATCAGGACATCTATAAATAACATCAAATTAGCATATTTGTGTTATTGTGTATTCCTACGCCTGATTTTTAAAAGTTAAGATGGAGGATTTTTTCAAATTATACAAGTACAAGATCTTAGAAAATTCTGTGGTTAGCCCAGATAATGGCTTGTGTAGGATTTGGATTGGTACTGTAACAAGGACAGGAAAATATGGAATTCTGTCATTTAAGGACCCCAGTGATTTAAAATAGAAAAAGAAACATGCACACAGACTTGCTTTTATTTGTTTTTCTGAAAATTTAGAATTGTCAAGTGATCTGGACTGTTCCCATCTCTGTCATAATAGTTTATGTGTAAATGTAGAGCACATAAGTTCAGAACCTCATTTTATAAATAATAATAGGCGATACTGTTTAAATTCAAATGTGTGTTATGGTCATTTAGGGTTCAGTGACTGCATGTTGGATTTGAAAATTTAATTAAGTTTTTATTGATTTGAGGGTATTAGCTATTGTACACTGATGTATACAACATTGTCCGACTACCACCACGTGGAGGTTCCCTCATTAGGTAGTCATATATTTTGTTGTTGTTGTTGCTGTTGTTGTTACGTTATTTTGGGGTTTTTTTTCTGATTGTTGACATGTCTCTAATAAATTTGTTGTCACCTCTTCTTCTCAATACAGGTGGTCCTGAGGTCAGTTGTCTTCCCTACATAGATGGATGTTGGGATCTAGCTGACCTCTCCTGTAGTCAGACTTCTGAGCGGACCTGGACCTTTTTGCATGCTGCTTGTGCTGTTCTGCTAACAACAACATACTTCTTTTCTTGACAGCAGGTTTGTATTGGTGCTGGCGTTGATATATTTCCTCTGAGCTGAGTTGATCAAGTTTATGTTTGACCTCCCTACTCAGAGTACCACCAAAGTGTTCAACCTTCTTTTGAATGGCTTTCCCTGCAGTGTTGTTTAGGGTCAGAATGGCATTGTCTAACTTCCCCTCAGCATTTCTTCCAAAATTCTGATGTTTTGATAAGCACACATTCAGGCTTCTGTGACAACCCTCATTCTTCTGTGTAGATGTGCTGAGTCTCATAGATCGAATAACATCAGTGCTGAGTTTCATTTTCAGAAGCTCCAACACCAACATCTCGTCCTCCGATGTCATTCAAAGATGATGGATCTGGTTTGAACTCGGGGAACATTGATCGCACCCACCAGTTGTCACTGTCACCACCAGAGCACACCACGGAATGCTGCTTGCACTTAGAGCAGTCACCTGTGTAGTAGGATACAGTAGCATCTAACACTGCAGGTAAACGAGTCGTGATAGTCTCAATGTTTCTGGAGTGAATTTTCATCAATTCCTTGAAAATCAAACTGCTCCGGGCTTTCAAGTCTTGAGAAAATACCTTCTGAGCATGAGACCTCATCAGTCTGGTACGACCAGGAAACATTGACTCGCTCCACTTAGCACTGTTACATTTCCGGAACTGTGCTCTGCCAAGGTGGGTTGGGTCAGCCAGTCTCTCCACTTTCCACATGGGATGTAAGGCTCTCATGGCTTCCTCCAGGCCTTGGGCTCCAGTTCCATCTCCATCTGTGGTTGTATATTTTATTAGCACGCCTTGTCTAGCTAGTTGATCCCCAATGTCCTTTCCCATGGCATACTCGGACAAGCCGTCATATCGGTCAGTGTTGGCTGTGCAGTCAGGATGACCACCAGGACAGGTGACATCATATCCTTTCCCTCTCAGCCAAGCACCTGTCCAGCAAAGTTTGTTGTGGAGGGCACGTCCAAGTATCCACTTCTTAGGGGTAGATGTCTCGATACCCAGACTTAACCCCTGTGAGGCATTCATCCCTGGCTTCTTAGCACTTCCAAATGATGTGCTGTTGTACCGCCCATCCACAGCTAGTCCGATGGTGCTCAGGGAATCATCTCCTCTCAGGGTGTTGGCCTCAACCACCAGTCGGGTCTTCTCGGACATGTCCTTTTTGTTGAGGGCAGTAATGTCCTTGGACACTTGATTTGCCTGTCGCTGCACTCCACTCTTGGCTCCTGCAGGTATATTCAGGTGTCCGAGAAGTAACCTGGCTCCTTTGGTGCTAATAGCCTGGCCACACAAAGCTGAAGGCAGGTACTTGTTTACAAGGGCTAGCTTTGGTCCGGGCTTATCCGTGTCTGCCTCTCTATATAGTTTATACAGTGGAGATCTGTACTGGCATTTATTACATCGGACAGCACAACTCCATCCCAGAGCCCTTTTCCGCTCTGTGTCCAGTTCAAACTCTGGTACCATGCATGATGTAGTGTTAGGTTGTCCAGCATGAAGTCTGATGATGTCGTTCCACATTTTCACCATCAACACTATGTCTGATCCGGTTTCCATCTATTACAGGCTCAGAGTTGGATTCTTCAGCTGTAACAGTTGCTGGCCGTAGTATCCGTGTTGGACATGGTCTGTCTCCAGTGTCTGTTGCTAGGGAAAGGCCATCAGGACTAGGCTTGGTGATCAGCTGAAATTCCTGGGTGGTCAGTCTTCTGGTCAGAGCTGGTCTCTCTTCTCTGGTGACAGGTAATTCAGGATCTTCATCTTTAAATGCCTGGCCCTTATTCTTTGGAACATTTGCAGGCTTGAAATAATTGTTCCTTCTCTTTCTGTCTCCCTTCATATTGGTAATGGTCAGTAGTGGTCAGCAGTGGTCAGTCAGAAGTAGTCAGATGTATTAAGAATACAAAAATCAAACTGAAGCTGACCATTTGATTGGTCATTTTGATATACACATCATTGCCTGTTTGATAATATAACATCAAAGGTGTTTCAGAAACAGGGAGAGACCCATAAGTAAACAGAAAGGCCCAAAGAGAACACCCCCTCCCCTGCCTTTGGCATGGATAGTCTGTGTATGTATACATGTGGCTGTTAGTTAGTCCAGTGGGTGTCATTCATTGTGATTGTTTACTGCAAGTCTTTACTGTTATCTATTGATTATTTTATGTCCAAATCAAAGCTGAAAAATGCTTTAAAGCAGATTAAATGATCAGTTAATATTAAAATTTGGTAATTTTAAAAAAAAAATTAAAATTCTACGAAAAAAAAATGAAGTTGTAATTTGAAATTGAAAAACTTTTTTGTATAGGTATATGTAGGAATTATTCAAGTTTATATACCAATTCACAGAACTGAAATATCTTGATAATTTCAAAATCTGTTTCATTTTTCCTGACACTTGGTGTCTGTGATATGTACAGCAAAGTGTATGTAAAGCTGAGTTAAAATCTCAGTCTGAGAGGGGTTTTTCAATTCTTCATAACTCCTGTTTTGTTTGACCTATGCTGATTCTGTTTACGCCAAAATGTTTGAAATAGCACACAGTTGATGAAAATATTTTTTTTTAAATTTAAGAAAAAAAAGTGTCCTATAATAGGACTAAGACCACAATTAAATACATCCGGGTTCAGTACCCACGAATGAAGTCCCTAAAAAATGTATGTATGTTAGGGAAAAAAATAATATGCCTCTTTGAATTGGATTTTTGCCTATAAATTTGATGTAGATGTGTTATAGAGATGATAATCTAACTGTCAGTGTGTAAATCATTCATATTGAACATGTATTTTGTGCTGCAGGATCTGGTGTAAAAAGTCCTGTTTTCACCTTTACCCCTGACCTGGATGTATATAATTGACGTTGGTGACACACATGGAGGTATATCTCCAGAAAATGCCCAACATGGTGGGTTGAAACTTTTACATTTTGCTTCTCAGATGTTGATCTTGGCTAGGTGAAATGGAAATTTGCAGATGAAACTTTGGGACTTAGTTATGAATTTTAATGTTACAATGAAATATATAGTGAAATTAATTGTGGTCTTAGGCCATATGTTGCTGACCGGAAGTGACCAACACAAACCGGAAGTAATCCCCGTAAACCGAAAGTAGGCTTTGCTAATGTAAACAAGTGAATGTCTATTTATTTATTTATTTATTGTTAATTCAGTCAAAGGCATAATAAAATTACACATTACAAATATTACATAAGCAATTCGATAACAATTAGAATCAGTAATAAATTATTGTGGATTTCTTAAAATTATTAATTATAAAATATAAGGTATCACAGAAGAATTTCACATACCTTAAAATATCATAGTTTAAACTAGTATCGCAAAATTAAATTACACTGTGCTTGCAAATCTTCTAAGTAAAATAGTTGAAAATTTAGAAATATCAATAAAAAAGAGAGAAATTTGATAAAACCAGATGAAAATGCCTTTGGCCTTGGATTACCCATAAAGCCTATAAAATAGGCTTATTTCCAATGGGGTCCATTTAAGGTGTAATCCTTCCGGTTGGGATGTAATGCCATGGAAATGAGATTGAATTAATTTTCTTTATTTAATTTTCATAAACTATAAATGAAACAGAGCACTACATTTGAAAGAAAATTACATTTACATAGAAGATATGAAAACAAATACTGAAAGTGAATAAACTGTTTTGGCACATTTCAGGGCATTTATGAAAAAGGATGGGATTTGAAGAGGTATTACATAATAATATAACATGATCAATAATATAACATAATATGAACAATAATATAACATCACTACCCGTTCAACCAGACGCAAAGAAGTGGAGGTTGAGCTCAATAGTAGACGAAGGGGTTGTCAAATTCACCTTTTGATTGTAGCATCAGAAATTGTTTTACTTTGTTTTTAAAATGATATTTATTTTTAGAATTTTTAATATTTTCTGGAAGGGAATTCCAATCTTTTGCGGCCGAAGTAGAAAAGGAAGAACTTTCTATGCTTTTAATGTTTTTTATTGAGAAGTTCATTGTTCCAGATCTAGTACCACAACAGTTTTTGTTTAGAGAGAAAAGTTCATATAAATATTGTGGACATTTACCATTATAGATGTTAAAAGTATGGTTGAGGCGAAGTTGACGGACCCTTCGTTCTACATTTAGCATGCCTAGTTTTTCTAATTCAGTGACAGTGATCCTTGTTCTGTTATCAAGGTTAAGAATAAAGCGAACCATTTTGTTTTGGGTAGTCTGGAGTATACCTTTGAGTTTCTTAGTAATTCCTTCATACCATGAGGTGCACGCATAATAAAAGTGACACTGAATCAGAGCAGAACATAAAGTTTTTCGAGAGTTTAGAGATAGACATTTACTATTTCTGTACAAAAATTTAAGTCTTTGGTTGATTTTGTGGATAATGTTGGAGACAATTTCCTCTCCAGATAGAAATTTATCTATCGTAACACCGAGGTATTTTACTGAAGATTGCGAAACAATGTTTTGACCGTTACATGAAATTTTGAAATCATCCTCAGGTACTTGTCCTAATTTTCTCTGTGGTCCAAATAAAATACTTTCTGTTTTACCTAAATGTAATGATAGTTTGTTGTCAACAAGCCAATCATGACATGATTCCAAAACTAAGGATAATTTTGAAGAGATTGTTTTGGGACAGTGATGTGAAAAAATAATTGCACTGTCTCAGCATACAGAAGTAGTTTACAGGAAATGTCTATACTTATCCGCATGTCATTTACATAAATCAGAAATAAAAGAGGGCCCAGTAAGCTACATGTCAAACTCAATACTGAGTCAAGCCTATGATTGCTCATGATTATTTTCCCTTTTTATGTAAATAACTTTTATGTTGCAGTAGTCTTAGTCAGCGAACATGTTATATATTCTGTTTTAATCACCAGTTTCAATTCAAACTTTTAGAGAGCTAAACAGCTGGTACATTTGTATGACGAACTATATTCCCAGGTTGTGTTTACTTCTCACTGCTAAGCATTAGGTATTAGTTGCTAATTTCCCGCCTTATTTTCACAACTGTAACTATGTCATAAGAATGTAACACAATACATTTTCCTTAACATAAGCCTTAATAATGTAGTTCAATTTTATATGATTGTAACTATGTATTGATAGGATGCCTACTGTATCTGTATATCATTATTAATTATAATGTCTTTTGTTATTGAGATGTATTGTGTATTAAAAAAGACATTTGTATATAATACAAATGTCTTTGACTATGAACTTGGACACCGACAAATAAAGTACATGATTATTTTAACAGCTGTCTTTGATCCATATTTGCAGATTTCACATTTACAAGAAAAGAAAAAAGAAAAAGAAATTCATGAAAACCTCGTGAACTATTTGTTCTTGTACAGATCAGATATTTAACCCAGTTAACATATGGTGCCAGTCTAAATAGCACAGTATGTCAATTTATGATTTCTGGTGGATAACACATTTCCTGCATTATATTATAATGATATTCGACAAGATAATTTGTCTTATTCAAAAACAAATATTTCCATATAAAATTATGATGGAGTTTTATCATACGTAAAAACGAAATACGACCCAACATCTTGACATAAAAACTTTATGACGTGACGTCATATGCCTTGTGACGTCACATACAGATTTGACATAGATTGAGAATATCGGCAAATCTGAAATATCGTATCAGTCTTTTACAATATGATTAAATGATAAACATGGTCATATATGAGATTTTTACTCTATTTACGTATTATACACAATAATGATACACCTCACCTAAATTCAGTAATTTGAAGCACATGTATATAACTTCCTCATATCAGACCTTTTTTACTAGATATAGAGTACTGCTGTAGGTCATTAGAAAAACAAAAGTATGAGTTTTTTCATTTATACCTGTGCTGCTGCAATAGTTTCTACGTTATTGTTTCCCTTGAACCCTTCTTCAATGTATATAATAACCGGAAGATTCACATCTGATTCATGAAAATCTTAAGGTGTAGATCTTTTCTGCTTTCTAAATACTAACGCCATTTTGGCTATAGATTATAACTGTTGTACTGTTATCATACTCGGTGTAGGGTTTTCGACAGTTGATGAGATCTATAATTACCATGTTGTCAAGATACAAAAAAGGTATGTTTACATAGCCCTTGCTATTGACAGACATCCTAAAACGAGGTTAAATATTTCGGTATACATTTGCTTCTGATGTTATCATGCAGTGATTTTTATGGACATACAGCGAACATCGAATAGAGTAACTATTCAGACATATTTTGCCGAACATCTGTCAAGTAACAAGGGAATGGAAGCTCATATTCATGGATAAAAGTAGGTTGTCCAGATAAGTTTTTGTTATATTTTTGTGTTTGTGAGATCCGTGAAGAGATGATGCACATGTATACATAGCGTACCAGTGTCATTTTATTGTCTTTCAACAAACACATTGTAGTGCATAGACGAAATAATACGTTAATAAAATGTATTTGTTACAAATATTTAATATAAATGATATCACTGAATTATTTTTGAATGGTTTGGATTCAAAATATCCAATCGTTGGTGTTTTGATCTCTACCTTTAGAGATGATCGTTCCCACAGTTAAATGTATCGTACATTTGTGAATCCTTGAGGCTCTTTTTTCGATCATAAGTATACTGCTTACATTTCATTAATCTATTAAATATGATTCCAATATTTTTGCACAAGTTCATTAAGATCGTGAGATCAATTTCGTAAAGATGAGAATTTTTCAAAATTTCCAGACCATGTCAGAAACATCATCTTAACAACTCTAGAGAACACCAGGCACCTGGAGAATAACCGTAACCAGAGGGAAACCATCTCAGATCGGAGATCACTTGGACCAAGAGTATCACCCACACCAGGAGGAAAGCATCTCACAGGAGATAACTTGGACCAAATGTATCACCAGGACCAGAAGGAAATCATCTCAGATTGGAAATCACTTGAACCATGAGTGTCACCAGGACCAGAACACAACCACCTACGATCGGAGAAAATTGGGACTAAGTGTATCAACAAGAACTATTAGGAAACCATCTCAGGTCGGAGATCACTGGGACCAAGATTATCACAAGGACCAAAAGGAAACCATCTCAGATCGGAAATCACTTGTAATAAGAGTATCACCAAGACCAGAAGAAAGCCATCTCCGATCACTAGGACCAAGAGTATCACAAGGACCAGAAAAAAAACCATCTCAAATTGGATATCAGTTGGACCAAGAGTATAACCGTTTTCAATTTATGTAGGAGTTGCTTCCCTTTAATTGCAAATGGACTGCAGTTATGAATGTACTGAAAATTGCTTATTTCCGCCATGACGTACTGACATAGGAAAAGTTTACTTATGGACACCGGGTCTTTTATTATAACAGAGTAGTTTAGAAAGTCAACATAATCTCAATTGCAACTAAAATTCTATGCAACTTCGGCAATAAAAATATTACAACTAAATGTCTTAATGGTTTTGTTCTGGTTATAAAACAATGATATGATATGAACAAAGGATAGAACCTTTAAACGCCGTCTGAATATAAATGTAGATGCAACTCGGTTGATGTGGAAACTAGATCAGTCTTGGAAAGATGGATATATTTGTATTCGTAACACGCATGTATTTTTTTTCAAATAGAAAACAAACATAATCATATCTATTTCCGTTGCTGTATACTTACTTTGCAATTTATTAAATTTCCTTTTCCTTCCTTTACAGTGGCGTAGCAATAATGTATGCTTGTATGCTTGAGCATACACTCAAATTCGCTTGAGAAATTTTTTCTTACTTTTATTTTTACGTTAAGATAAAAGTTTGAAATAAAAGTACGAAAAAACAAATATATATATATATAGCATCAAACTATCATTTTTTCTTTTCCGGCCGTATGCAGTATATCTATATATATACATTACGATACGGAATATTTAGCCCTTCAATATATTTGGTTCTGGTTATTGTTGTAACAATTCTATTTCCGGGTTATATAGTTTGTACCCGCTTAACTTAAAAAAGGGCACAGCGTAAAATTACCGAACTTTTTAACGTAAACCGGACATGTGGATCTGTGGTATCACAAGACAATTTAGGAAGTGAAAACAAGAAGACCAGCCTTTCTGAAATGATGTCTAGTGACACATCTCAAGACAACTCTCAGCCTTCCGAGTATAAACCTCCTTATTCTGATATCAACGTCATGTCAGAAAACGAACTGAAGGATGACAGTGTTCGTCGTTCTCTTTTGGCGACAAAGTGGGATACTGCTAACAAATTCAATTTTCCAGTCAGGTAAACAAGTTGATGATTTTATTAAACAATACCTAATATACTGTTATTTGTATGTCTCTAAAACCAATTCTTTGCGATTCGCACAGACTCAGTTTAAGTTAAATGCAAAAAATAACTATTAGCATGAAAATCGCGTAGCAAATATATCCATGCACTGTAATGCGGATGCAATGCTCGGAAATATTTTTTTCTTCAACAAGGGGAAATAAAACTTGGAAAAGGTAGAAGAACTCAAAACATGATTAGCTTTCCATCGATGAATCACTAAATTAGTACACCAAACCCTCGGCCCCAATCACTCACCACTCCTGCCGACCGGACCCACATAAACGGAAAGGGAGTAATACTGTCATGTAAGGTGAATTCAAGGAACGGATAATATTTTTTTCCATAATAAAAATGAATCTAGCTTTCGTCGTAAGAATAGCTCTACTGAACTAAAGTTATATTGTTGTAAACACGACGTTAAATAAAGGTTCTTGTATCTTGTCACGGTAATTGTAAGACTCGACAAAATTGAAGTTTTTGAAAATTCGTATGACGACAATAAATGTAAATACAAGTATTGGTTCTGTTATTTTTGACATTAATTGGTATGAAACATTGCTTACGTACATATTGCATGTTGCCGACCCTATTTAGTCCCCACTGAGAATTTTGAAATAAAGTGCATATCGAAAGCATTGAAATTAGAAACCCGACGGCTTCAGGGGGCTCTCCCCCCACCCCCACCACATACACACCCATTGGAGCTTTACCCCTGGGCTTCCTCTTGAAAGCATACACTCTTAAAAAACATTTGCTACGCCACTGCTTTATTTGGAATATTTGTTTATTTGCTTATATTTATTGTTTGTTTCAACACATTTAATTAAATATAACTGAGAACAGAAAATATCACTATTTAAAGCTGTTAAATATTGTAAAAAAGCTAAACTATGTTTGTTCCAAAATATTTATAGCAAGTTCTGTTTTACCGAGTGAAGCACACAGACTATCTCATTGAAGCTATGATGAGTCAAGTTGAGATGCTACATATACAGAAAAAGAACATTAATTAAAAACAAAACGTCAATATGACCTGTATAGCTCACCTGGTTTAGTTAGCTAAAATTGCTTCATCAAAACTAACTGAAAAGCAATTTTTTGTACCTATTTATCCTTTTAGGCCTGTCCCCTCTGCCCAATGATGATCAAATGCATCGTTTATACAACAGTAAGATCTCTTCAGCTAAAGATGCTTCATAACAAATTTCTTGTTATACATAGCAAGAAGAAAGCTGCCACAATGAATTTATCACCAGATTTAATGCTAGCAGTGTCTTGTATAATAAACTCATATCCTATATCAAGTGAAGAGAAGTGTTGAGTGCATACAAATAGATTATATTCAATTGCACTAGACCCGTCAATTACGCTTGCATGTTGTATCAGCTAAAATTGACTCTAATATGGCGGCTTTCTGGTCGTTATTCTCATTCGGACAAGGATGTTTGTAAACTTTCTCAAACGCTGTTAATGAAGAATCTTGAAGAAGATATATTCACCAATACGTTCACATTGCTATTTGTGTATACAATCTGGAGTTTATGCTTTACCGAGTGAAGTCCATCCTGTATTGTTTATGTATTGTTTACCACACCATACAAAATGTATGACAAGATGTGTATTAGTCAATAAGGTTTCGGAAAGTGAAATGTGGTATTTAATATGATGTAACGTCCATCTGTACTGTTTCATATACATAGTCACTTATTAGGTTTCTAAGCCGAAATGTTCTGTGTGGTCTTAGATCTCCGGCAAATTAATCTACATGTCTAATTTGATAAAATACCGAGTTTTTTCTCATTCTTTGTCACGAAGAAGTGACAGTTTTGTAATGAAGTGTTCATTTTCTTAAGTGTTAAGTTATATAGGTCTAGTTTTCTAGTAATTAGGTTATTTACAGTAATCCATGACCAGACTGGTTGTTCTAGAGTCATATTATTAGGAATATTACGGTATGCTTTGAGGTTCAATGTAATTCAACAGGGCTTGTTTACTTATCGTTGATTGGTCAGTTATTGAAAGATTAGCCAATCGGAGCACACCTTACGCTTCGCGGATGAAGCACATAGAAAAGATATGGCGAGACCGGACGGCCAGATTTGGCAAAATCGTTGTCATAAATGACTAGAAAGAAGGAGGTTCAGGACATTCTCAGGGGTGAGTCCAAATCTATAAACCTTGTATTGTTCATTGGGAGTAAATTTGCAGGTTGTCATTCCATATTTTCGAAAATTTAACTTAGTAAAACAGCGGTGCAAATGTAACGATAAGAAATCTATTGAATGTGTATTGACACAGTTTTTACGCAATGTTGCTTCTATGAAATGGTCATAGGGGTAATTTTTAGAACTCGGAAAGGGTTTTTAAAGCTAGGCAAGGTTTGTCAGAAGATTATTTGTAATTCAAGTGATTATTACGGATAGATATTAGGTTACCGCTTTATCTACGGACTCTGCCAATGTTATCTATGTCGCGTCAAAATACGTTAGTATTGAGAATTTGTTTTGTTTTGTGTTATATAGTTCAACGACATGTAAAGTAGAGAAGGGGCTTAGACGGCTGGACAACTTCAGGACCGATGTCGACGCATACCAACGCTTAAGACAGGTGTTGTGGAGAGCACATTGGGCCCTGTCATCCCACTAGATCAGTGTTATATTGTACAGTACCAATGTGATGTAAATGCCGAACTGTGAACTGTTTATGTTGAGTCATGAACATAGTTCAAGTGTAACGGAAGTAGCGACTTTGCCGAACTGTTGTATTGTTTACATTATCAGCTGATTTGATGTAATGGGGTACTTTGTGATTATTTGGAGCCTGTAATGACTGCAGTGATCTATAATAAACTGAACTTTGAATTATCATAAAATAGTACTGATTGATTCATATTTCAATTGATTTTTCCAGTGAAATTTAGTTATGAATATCATAATGGTATAAATTGTTCTGAAAAGGAATGTTTTAGTCATTTGAAGGCAATAATGTAATTCCTTGATAATATGAAGTGTTTATTGTGTGAGGAATTCCGACTGTACCACTGTACCCCTGTTCCACTGTATTGTGAGATTTATACCTTATGGTATGTTTATACTGTCATGTTGAGTGTTTATAACTGTTAATTTATAAACATAATTGTTAAGTTTACAAATTTCTTTGTGATATTTTAGTAGCTTCCAGGTTGACCAAGGCATTAGCCCTCGAGCACGTGACAACAAACACTGATCAGTTTTATGAATAATGTTAAGGGAAGGGTTTAACTTCACAATGAATTTTATATTACTATTTGTTTTGATCAAGATGTATATGGGGAGTGTCGCTGACGAAGCAAAAGATACCTTCTCATTAGGAACAATTGGATTATTGCACTTAAAGCGTTGAAAAGACCACGTGTTGTGAAACAATATACTCGTAAGACACAACCAAGAAACTGTTCCGGAACATGTAATCTTATTCTTCCATGTAAATATTTCTTTTGGCCATACTTTGCCCTAGATTTGTACAATATGACATTGGATTATTATTCTGTAGGTATTTTCTTTATTGTTTAAGTCTGTTTTCAAACATTAATAGAGATTAGGAATCTAAAGCTGACTATGAGATAACTGAACGTAGATATTTACACAGAAGACAGCTAAGAATGTATGCTTGGAGAATATCTAACCGTACAAAACAACCTTGCATTGGCTAAGGATAAAAAGATATATGAAAGTTCAATTATTCACGATCACATGACATACCTTTTCTAGAAATAAATTCCACTCGAAATGAAATTACAATGTTTTAACCATTTACCATCCAACATTTAAAGATAATATTTCTGGCTGAGAAATCAAATTACAAATTGAATTTTCTGCAAGAAATACTTTGGAAATAAGTAAAAAAAAAAAAAAAAAACCAATGTACAATAACAGAATTAATGAATTTAGAGAAATCAATTACAGGGTAAGTTTTGAAATAAATAAAAAAAAAGGATAGAAGAGATTATTAAACAAAAAACTAAGGTAACGCAACATGATGTGTTATTCGTTTCCTCTCGTGATTAAACAGGGAGGAAACCAACAAAATATAGTTTTAATCATCAAGGTCACCGGAAGAACCTTATATTTCCAAGTTACGAGCTGGAGTACTTGTTCTCAGAATCGATTTAACGGATGATTAATAGTATAATCATATGTTTCGACTTCTTTTTATTACAATACATGGTCGATATTTTAGACAATAAAAACAACAGGAAAATACCAACATAATTATAGTGAAATTCAATACTACTATGGGAAAATATGAACAAAAAAGTATTATAAAAAATAGACTCCTGAAAAGGCACAATGTCAGAAATGACAATGAATTTTGGGATCTTTCGTTTAGGTATACTTGATAGTTTTTTCGTTGAACGTAAAATACAACACGGACGCCAATAAACAATTAACAGTTTATATAACAAACCAACAAATTCAAGATACAATCTACAGAATAGGAGATAGACCGATCACATGCCTTCCCCTACTCACAGTGAGTGGATGTCACTTCCCTATGCAGAGCGTCCTTACTTTCGGTTCGTGATCACTCTAGGTCACAGCGCTCGAGTTTGGGCTCTCGCGGTCATGGTGTACACACACAAAGTCAAAGTTCACTCTTAAACCCACTAGTTAAACTCTTAAAACAACACATGAGGTCTGCCTTTTCTTCAGCATTGTATCACGCACAGTCTTCTTCACTCACCATCTTCCCGCGTCCTCTACCCAAGCCGATCGTACGAACCCCCCGGACTTATTCGTGATTACATTGTCTCCAAGTCAACTTATGCTTTATCAACGACACCCGCCATGTAAATCTTGATCGATCCAAGTAAGTAAGTAATGTCACGTTCTCAGAAGAGAACAAGGTGTACAACAACAGAATCAACATACAAACTAACGAATATCAAACACACCCACATTCATATCACACAAAAATCTCATTGAGAGCTATGAAGATCGTAAAATTTCCCCATAATTTTCATCAACCTGCATCTTGTGCATATTTTGTCACGAGTGTCCGTCAGCTGGAGAGTGTTAGAAAGAAAATCGTGATGGTGGGCATAAGTCCTTTAATATTGAATCATTCTGTTCAGGTAAGGAGTTTATATTCTGAAATGGAAATAAAAAAACACGTAAATTGAAATCATCACGTTTACCACACAGATTAGAGGAAAGTTGGTTTTCTGTTTTATGAAAATAAGATGATTATTACTTTTTCTTTTATTTATTATTTTTTTTCCTACTGAATTTTGTTTCTATTGATATGTATACATTTATGAATTATACATCTGTTCGTTTGATTTTCACTACTTTTACTGCCAAGTTTTAATACCAACCAATAACTTGATTCATCCCAAATTCAAGTTGTCTTATACACTCAACACTGCAAGTATCATGTCTAAACACGTCCTACTCTTTTTTCACCAAATATAGATATATGTTCAGTGTTACATTAAACCAACTCAAAGCATTACCGAGCCAGTCAAAACCTCACAACTAAGTATCAAGAGAGAAAAATATACGTCATACTTGCAAAGTATATACCACGGTAGGCCATACATATAGAACAGAGAATCAGAGTTTCACTTAATAAACGAATCAAACGGAGCGGCTCCAGAGATAAACAGCTAGTGGTGTCGAGTTATCCAGTTTGTCTAACACTCCTGAACCTAACTGAGCGGTGCTCCTTTTATATATTCAATGAAAAAGATGACGTGTTACTGAAATTATACAGCTAAATCATTCCCCAATACTTCTGGACTTTTGTCATATCAGTTACAGGTCGACTTTCTGGCACTCAATGACCATTAATCACCATAGGTCATTGCAACATTCCGTTCGTGACTTTAAATGTTTGGCCATATCCATTCAATTAGACTTTCTGACCATAGGTGAATAGATGTTTATTACAGCAGCATCCTTAAGGATTGCTGTAAATTTACAGAGTCCAGTTCCCACGTATCTGCTCTTAAACGACCCGTACTGACCAGTATAAAATGTATCAACGCATCTCATCTGGCTGTTCTATTCAATAAATAATCAACCACCATTATTATATGTTTCACAACTATCCAGAATTGTCATTACAATATTGATCATCATTAAAATATTACGTGCTTACCCTTATTTTGTTACAAGTACCCACCAATAACTTCTGAATATTTGTTCTACTTTCCCATCATCCTCATAAGTGTCAATTCATTTTTGACATATATTCCATTACACATTCAAGACCATGATGTTACATGGTAGCATGAAACATATCATAACACTTCTTGTACTGTGAACTATATATGCCATACATTATTGACACATGAAATACTCTCCAACAGTCACCAACATTGGAATGATAAATAGACAAGCACATCTATGCTTCATTCTCATAAAGTGATATAAACGGATGTCATCCACAGTTCTTTTCACACTATTACTGAGTATGTATAGGGACATAACATGCACATATGTAACTCCAATGTGTGTTACCTGTGATATTTGTGTATGTGGCTATCTTATCGGTAACGCATTACGTTTGGTTATTACCTCATATACCCCACATATGACTCAACGCACAGGTATGCTTCTAAGGTCATTAATATACAAATATCTTATCTTAGGTATAACTATGTTTTATCACGAGCACCAATCAATATCAGCCGTCAATCAGTGACAAGACATTATTATAAGAGTTTGACTTCAAGAAATACATAGGCCATAAATATATCTTTACCTGTGTATCATATGAAAACATTATTATATCTTAAAATAGATTGTTGGTCATATTTCCCGAATTCTCGATCATGTTCTTTGGCGTCATGAATGAGACCGTCTACCATTATCATAATATTTTCGATAATTTCTTGTTATACATAGCAAGAGGAAAGCTGCCGCAGTAAAGTTAACACCGGATTTAATGCTTACAGTGTCTTGTATATTAAATTCAAATCCTATATTAATTGTAGAGAAGTAACAAGTGCATACAGACAGATTAGGTTCAACTGCACTACACTCGTCAATTGCGCTTGCGTGTTGTATCAGCTAAAAGTGACTCTAATATGGCGGCTTTCCGGTCGTGATTCTCATTCGGACAAGGATGTTTGTAAACTTTCTCAAACGCTGAAGGTAATCTTAATCATTCATATCAATTTTATTGAGGTTAAAACTGATCTGTAATATTAATGAAGAATCTTGAAGAAGATATGTTCACCAAGACGTTCACATTGCTACAACTGTATACCTTCTCGAGTTTATACTTTACGGAGTAAAGTTACCCTGTACTGTTTATCTATCACTTACCACACCACACTATATGTATGACAAGATGTTTATTAGTCAATAAGGTTTCGGAAAGTGAAATTGTTGTGTTTACTATGATGTAACGTCCACCTGTGCTGCTTTTCTTATCCATGCTTAATATCCTTAGTCAATTCAAAGGATTATAAAACAATGGTCTGAGATATCCGGCAACTTAATCTACATGTCTAATTTAATAAAATACCGGGGTGTATCTCAGATCAGTTGATGAGAAATGTTATTTTGAGTCGTGGACAAAGTTCAAATGTACTGGAAGTAGCGACTTTGCCGAACTGTTGCATTGTTTACGTTATCAGCTGATTTGAAGTATTGGGGTACGTTTATGATTATTTGGAGTCTGTAATGACTGTAGTTACCTGGAATAGACTGAACTTTGAATTAGTATTAATAGTACTGATTGATTTTCTAATTGTGTAAAGGAATTTTATATTTCAATTGATTTTTCCAGTGTAATTTAGTTATGAATTATAAAATGATATAAAGTGCTCTGAAACGGAAGTTTTTAGTGATTTGAAGGAACAACACAACAGTATTTACACACCATAAAAGATTAATCTCACAATACAGTGGTACAGGGGTACAGTGGTACAGTGGGGATCTCTCACACAATAAACATTTCATATTATCAAGGAATTACACTATTTCCTTCAAATGACATATGTTGTGTTGAGTGTTTATGACTAATTTTCTGAACAGATTATTCAGTTTACACATTTTTTAGTTATCTGTTGGTAGCTTCGAGGTTGACCAAGATATTTGCCCTCGGGAACGTGATGACACTTAAAAATCCAAACACAGATCAGTTTTATGAATAATGTTA